CCGAGGGACGAGGATTTTCAGTGAGAAACCTAGGCCACGCGAGCGGCGCGACTTTCTTACCGGACAATTTTTCCGGATTTTTTTCGCTTTTATCTCCGACAGGTAAAAAACGTTGAAAAACACTGTCGGCCACTTGAAAATAATGCTATCAGGAGCCGTGGCCTAGGTTTTTCACTGCGCGGGAATTCAAATCCTCGTCCCTCGGCGGCACCTTTTTTGAATTTTTTTCACTTTCAAGTTTTATTAATATTCGGTCGTTGATCCATTTGACTAGGTTAAACGTCATTCCTCTGACACACTTATCATATTTTCTCCAATAGAAGCTCAGTACACTTCGAGCTCATATAAATGGGTTCCTGTAAACGATATCAAAAATAAGTCGACTGGCAAAATGTTTATCATAAAATGAATATCGTTTTATCAGTTGACTTTGGTTTGATGTCTTCTACAGGAAACGAGATATATGGGCTCAAAGTTGAAAGTTTGAGTGACACTCTGTTAGAGACAGTGTGTTTGTGGTACTCCCTTTGAGTTCTCATTGAGTGCTATCTCATTTTCTGTGCAAGATATCAAAAATTGATCAACTGACAAAATGCTATTCATGTCATAAACAATATTTTCTCAGTTAACACATTTTCGTTATCTTGCATAGGAGCCGAGATAATTGAGCTCAAATATTAGGGTGCGATTCTATTAGAGAATATTTAATTTTTTAGCGAATCCGATAGTATTGTTTTTTAAATTGATGGTTTGTTGTATGAGTCAGTTATATAAGCCTAAGAGAAGTAGTGAAAACCATCAAATGCTTCTGGAAAAATACTTTTGTGAAGTTCATAATAAATCCCAGTCGTTATTTATTCTTTCCGTAAATCTCTAATAGAAAGGCCCCCACACTGTCCAGTTTGAGCTCAATTATCTCGGCTCCGAAAAGAGATATAAAAATGTGTCAACTGGTGAATTTTTTATCATAATATCACTAATATTTTATCTGTTGACACTTTTTGGATATCTTGCATAGGATTCGAAATAATAGAGCTCAAAGTTGTCAGTGTGGGGGCCCTTCAAACTTTCTAGTGTCATTCTCCATTTGTTCATCCGTAAAGCTCTGACTAGTTTTCTTTACAGAACTCCGAAAAACCATCCTTATCAGCGTTATCCCTCCCTATATCCAATGAAATCGCTCCGAATATTGCTCCAGCTCTCTCGGATCAACTCTGGCTAGCCGCCGCCGCATTTCCAATCGAGCACAGTCTTTTGTTGGCTCAAAGGAACGGAGTATTTCCTGGTTTCTGGTCAACTGCAGATCAGATTCGATTGTCAAACGCTTCGAAAGCATACAGAAGATTAAGGTTGGAATGGTAATGGGTTGGTGTCGAAATATTAAAATATTCTCAATTTTAGTTCTCGACGAAAAGCACGGACCGTGTTCAGTGATCAACAACTTCAAGGGCTGGAGAGACGATTTGAATCACAACGGTAGATTTAATTGAAATCTTTCTTTTATTTTTTTTTTCCTACATTTTGCTTGATTTTCAGATATTTGAGTACACCAGAGAGAATCGAATTGGCGAATGCATTGAATCTGAGTGAGACACAAGTGAAGACATGGTTCCAGAACAGAAGGATGAAGCATAAAAAAGTAGTGAGGAAAGATGATAACAGTGTTGATGATGGGAATGATAATGAGAGTGACTGAAATATTAGGCTCACCGGTGATCGTATCTCTTCAATTTATTCTTCTTCTTTCTTAACCTCTCATACATTTTATTTTTATCGAATAAATACATTTTTTAAATTTTTCATGTGAGTTCTAGGCCCAGAACTGATGGCAAACTTGGAATTTCGGCATCAATTCAACAACTTTAATTCCAGAACATGTAATTGAAAATAAGAATTAGAGATTACTGAAGTTTTTCTATTCAAAACCAAAAAATAGGGATTACTGTCATCTTCAGATTCATTCTGAAAATTGGAAACAGTAAGTATTTCAGTAGTTTTCGGTTTCATTGTTCCAAAATGAAAATCATGAGGACTACTGTAGTTTTAGGATACACTCTTCAAAGTTGAAAATAGTGAGGTTTACTGTAGTTTTCAGATTAATTTTTGAATATTGAAAATTTTGAGGATTACTGTAGTTTCAAGTAAGGATTTCTATTGAATAAAAGATTTAAGGATTACTGTAGTTTTCGGATCCATTATTCAAATATGAAAAAAGGATTACTGTAGTGTTAGGATCCACTTTACAAAATTGAAAATAATGAGAGTTACTGTTGTCTTCGGATTCATTTATTTTAAAGGTGGGGGGACAGGAGATTTTACGGGGGATTTTCGGGGCCAGAGTATGTATTCTACCGTGACGGTGTACAATGCTTAATGTCACTCTGCGTACAGCTGTCGTCCGCGCCTTTATGTATGCAGTCTGGCTGCTACTTTTTCTTTGCCCGCGTAGCTCAGTCGGTAGCGGCGCCGCACTCTCAATCCTTGCCCCCACAAGTTTAACTCCACGAGGGGCGTATAAAAACGGAATTTCGAGAAATTTATTTTTTTTTCATGTCCCCCCCACTTTTAACACTGAAAAATGAGGATTACTGTAGTTGAAAGAAAGGATTTTGGTTGAAAAATGAGGATTACTGTAGTTTTCGGATTCACTTTTAAACATTTAAAAATAGGGATTACTGTAAATAGTTAAAATTGAGAATTTCTATCAAAAATAAGGATAAGGGATTACTGTAGTTTAGGCATACATTTTTAACAATTGAAAAAATCGAGGATTACTGTATTTTTTGGATCCACCTTTAAAAACTGAATAAAACAAGGACTACTGTAGTTTCCGGATTCACTTTTAAAAATTCAAAAATTTGGATTACCGTAGTTTTCCTATTAATTTTCAAAACTGAAAGCAGGGGTTAATGTAGTTGAAACTAATGATTTATATTTGGAATTAGTATCAAGGACAACTATTATTTTCAGATTCACTTTAAAAAAATCGAAAACAATGAGGATTACTGTAGTTGATCTTCGAAGTGTTATATTTTCAAAAAAATCTTTATTGGAAGAAACTAAATTTGCAAGTTCCAAAGTGCAGAGCATTATTGACTCTTGCCGCATCAAAATCAGTCCACAAAGCTGGGCGCTGAAATAAAAATTTGAGATAAAAAAAGGAAAATTATAATACCGAATCCAACGAAATTTCACATCCTGGGGCTTTGATAATGTGGAGATTAAAAGCTGTCTTTCCGACCGCTGAGAGTTTGAACTGGTCATGGTAGATGGGACTTCCTTGCATTTCTCCGTATGTCATGTCAACCTGAAAAATATTCTTGCTTCATTATTTTTCCATACTTAGAGAATCATTATTTTTACCAAGTCAACGTCATCCTTCAAAGCCGCGGTGAAGGTAAATTTAGTTAGTTCATTCACACCTGGAAGTGGATGAGCCTCATCTGAAAAATCTCAGTAAAAGAAAAAATTCGAGCTCTATTCTTACCAGATTCTGGGCTAATATAGAATCCTTCATTGAGGAAGAAATCGACAGTTTCCGACAGCTTCATTTCTGTGTTGTACTCAGTCATTTCCCCTTTGGGTGTCATCCAAATTCGGAACCAGTGACACTTTTCAACATTTAATGTGAATCGTCTAACAGTATCAGTTTTGTACGTCGCCGACTGGAATCAATAATATAGACTTTGAACTAAAAAACAAAATATTACAGGTAAATTAACAGCGTATGAGCTGACGGATACTTTTTTGAACTGAGCATTGACTGGCTTCTTTCTTCCTGATGCTCTCCATCCAACTACTGGCTCACACGCCTTCACAAGGTTCCCCAATTTCTTACTCGTCCAGGTTTGCTCTTTCAAGTACTGCAAAGTTTAATAATTATCATCTCGGGTTTTTTTTGGAATCGATTCGGATTTGCATTCTACCAGTTTCGTTATTTTCAAACGACTTTTGAATTTTCGAAAAAAAACTTTAAAAACATATTCGAACTTATTATCGAAATATGTCAAAAATCACGCTTTCATGTGAGGAATAGAGTGGCCTAACTTTCTCCACATGATTTTTCTAGGCCACAGTAGCAAGAAATGGTCTAACATTGGCCTGATGTGTTCCCTAGGTAATTTAACAAGGTGGCCTAACATTCGAAATTTGGTTTTTCTAGGCCACAACTTTTATGACCTAGAAATGACCTGATATTTACCCGGTGGGTTTTTTTGGGCATTTTAACATGGTGGCCTAACTTTTGCAAATTGAGATTTTTAGGTCACCGATTTTTATGATCTAGAAATGGCCCGATATTCACCTGGTAGGTTTCCCAGGTAATTTTTCAAGGTGGCCTAACATTTGCAAGTTGAGTTTTCGAGGCCACCAAGGTAAATGACCTGGGAAGCCCACCAGGTGAATATCAGGTTATTTCTAGACCACAAAAATTGGTGGCCTAGAAAACTCAATTTTCAAAA